TTTTTTTTCGTTTGATCTTGAGACTCTGCGGTGTTTTAATACTGTTTGCTTTTTGAGCATACATAACATGAACAATATCATGCATGCAAATGGATGTCGTCGTAAAACGTTTTAGAGTATCAGAAATGTGCTTCATACACTTTTGTATGCTACGTGTTTTTCGTAACTTGGCACACAGGGTTATTTTTTTTTTTATATCGTCTCTTCGAAGGATGAAACTATAATTTGATTACCAGCGATCTCGCATAAAAGTACTTGTCCATGTATGTGAATAGTTAACTCATATGTATCAACTTAATATAAAATCAATCGAAAACAAAGCAGCAAAGTATAATAAAAGAGCATTAACCCTTTGCCAAACCTATTGTAGTAGAGGTATATCCGTACGAATACACGTGTAATAGCATGCCTGTATATGCATAGCCACGCGATCCTAATTGCATTACGTAAGGGTAAACTGCCAACGTGTCTGTGTTTCGCATTAGCCGTGCGCTCGAAACTTTTTTACGCTGCAGTGCATATACAGTCGCATGTTAATTTTTTGGGCAGCCTTAGAAACAACCAAATGGTGCCTCTAAGGAAAATCTCTATGAAAATTTGGTGCTCTTGTGTACACGTGTCGAGGTACAGGTGCATCATTACACCTCGGGTTACTTGTTCGTGTCTTGCGAGGGGTAGTTTTAGACCACGTTCGTGAGTGCTGACAATTAATTTTGTCGATGTACGATATACAATTCACGTCGAGAGTATCTTACTCTTTAAAACAGTTTTTGAATCAAAAGAAAAGAAAAAAATGATTCTTATGGGGTCAAAAAAATTCAACCCTCTCTCAAGGTAACTTTACCCATAAGGTACTAACATTCTTCGAGTGAACGGGTATGAATAATATTATTCAGAAATGAAAGATAACATTTATATACACTATGTTTGAGCAATGGTCGACAGCTACTATGAAAACAAATGAAATTACCGCGAGGAGGAGTACCGAAAATATTTTCAGCTGCCGACAAGTCCATTGCGTCAACACCAGTACTCGAAAAATATCGAGTGCTTTTGCCAAAAGCGGGGACCTTTTTGCGTACTCGACTATAGCTCGAGATAAGAGTGGAAAAGCTTGTACATACTTTGCGTACATTTCAACGATTGAGAGGAATTAGCATTTGTTGTTGGAGCGATCACTCAGTGTTTTAGAGGTGTGTGTATACAAACACAATGGACAAGTACGGCGGTTGACTCATCACTGGTTGGGACGAATCCGAAGTGAATTCAACACGAGGATTTATGTATACGTTGGACTTTATACAAAAAAAAAGTGTAGTAACGATGTATGAAAAGTTAAGCCGTACAGTTCAAGTGTCGAAATACCAAAAGTAATAGCAACTCAAAAGGCATGAGCGAGAGTCCAAAAAAAAAAAGTTGAAAGAGGTTGTTTGCTTAGTTTTAAGACAGACGACATTCCTGTTCTTTCATTTTTTTCACACGTATCTGTATTATGCCTGTAAATGACTATACTCAGCACGACGCACACATGTTTGTATTATATAGTATCTTGAAAACGGCAAAAAGAAAAAGATGTCATATATGGGACACGATTTTCTATATGTATTTGTACAGCCGTGCGTACACCAGGATGGGGGGTCATTAGGCTATGTAATCAAGGCCAACAAACGTGTTCTACCAAAAAAAGGCATGCGTACAAGTTAACGAGGGAAAAAGTACTTAAAATTATCGACTCACGACCCAGCCAAGCTCTATCGATCCCGTACTAGCGTTTGCAAGCGTAAAAAGGGGGTCGCGCGCGCCAGAGTCCGAGGCGCCTGTAATCCTAGAACCGCCCGCGCAAGATCGCCGCCACCACCGTCTCTGTTGTGTTATTTCTCTCCTCCTCGCACACATTTCTTTTATTTTTTAATTTTTTTTATTTTGTTTCTTACTTGCTGGCTACCTTAATGTAATCCAAGAGCGCGGTAACGCGACCTCGCCACTCGGGTATTTTTGCCCGCTCGGGTTACGCTTGCAGAGTTCTTTTAACGGGGAAAAACAGGTGTGGCACGGCGCGAGGGGTTTTCCTTTTTTTAGGTTGTGCGTTCAGTTGGAACTATGAAAAATTACAAAAAATTCCTATCGAGACGGAACCACGCGAGGTAAAAAGTGGGCAGGAGGAATAATTCGCATGCGCAACTGGAAGAATAAGTGGTGGATACGATATAACGAGGAAAACGTCGTCGAGTTTATGATAATTGCTTCAAAGACGCACGAGCCATGTCATCAGAACAATTATGCTCCACGAGAATAATTCTACACCCCCGTTTTCTCGCGATTCCGCAAAAAGCGCACATCCACTTAACAATCGCCCTCTCAAAACAGCCTCTTGATTGCGACCACGCGAGATTAGTAATTATTTGATTCGGGCGCGGAAGAAATTAGTTTGTGTCACACTTACTTTGGACATTTCTTTTAGCATCAACATTGTGTGATGATGACTCCTACAGGTTTATTTAACACGTATACCGTATATGAAAATCAGACCCAAGGAACGGTACGCATTATCGTATATGGTCAATAAAAATTAGCCCCTGACATTTTACAAAGTACATGAAAAAATAAGTAAATAAAGTTGGTCCATGTATATCATTTTTAATCCGACGCAAGAGCAAAAAACATCGCTTCGTAATCGACTGCGCCGTCTTCCTTGTACATGTACTCCGTGCACCGGAGCTTCGTCGAAAATAAAGAGCCGCGCTCGCGAACGGAGGGGCTATAAATATAAATTTCAACTTTCGGCGACTCCCACGCGTCGAAAGTTTCGCAACAGGACGCACTCGGTCGGGAGAGAGATGACAATAATGATTATACGAGAGTATACGGCATCAGAAAATCGCGGAGCTTCAAAATTGTTACGCTATTCAAGTGCTAATTGGCTCGAACGGATTTTGGCCCATATAGTGGGTTGGTTGGGACATTTCTTTTTTGCAAACCGCCAAAAACCAGGTGATTGACGTCACCGGTCAAGGGAACGTGAATTCGCGTCAATGATTTATTTTTATCATAAAAAATGGGACCATAAAAGATATTTCCTAGCAATTGAGTTAACAAAGTAATCATAAAGTAAAAAGTGTAACCAAGTAGGTGTAAAAGACAAACTCTTTCAATTTGGCAAAACAAATAAAACTCTTTAAAAGATAAGAAAAAAAAAAAATCAGAGTGCCACAACACTACCATCCCAGCAAACAAGGACCATCGACGTCGCGGTCAAGTGCTCCTTAAAAGGACAGTCGAGAAAGAGAGGAGCCTCGTCGTTCCCATGACTCGACTCGGTAGTCCGAAAAGCCCGTTTTTTCCATACTCTCTTTTTTTTTTTTTTTTGCTCCCCCAGCAGCGTGTCCTCGGGACACAAATCCTTTAAAAGGATCGGACTCGCTTCTCGCGAACCTTGACCAAGTTGGAATAAAACGTCACTCGTCCTCCCAGCCGGTGCTACTTGGGCTTACATAAGGCAAGAAATGGCAACCTGAAAACCGGCTTTCATTCGGCTACCCCTCCACTACCAAGTGCCATTTTTTATCTGCGATCATCGTGAAAAACAAAAAGTCCGTAAGTTATATACAATCTCGATCACACAGGAAAGTCGTAGCAATTAATCATGCCAAATGACGCACTTTTTCGTGTATACATTTTTACATACGTACCTCATTAAATCGAGTGTCAAGGACGCGTGGACACTTTTTTGTTTTATCAAAGGTACGTGCCCCAAAATTGAATGAAGCACTCTATCCCTTACCCCCTGTTTTTAGATCGGAAATAATTCGTAGAACTTTTACCCCTACCAGAAGGCCGGGGAATCCCCTGGTTCCTCCTCCAGGCGGCTCTCCTATGACGACCCAGTTTCCGCACGCGTATCCCACCGATCTATTTTTCCAATGGATATAAATAAAAAAGCACCGACAGTTTATTCGCTTACTTGGACGTATAAACCAATGAAACTTCGAAATGGACATCCGATTTTTAAGGTTATAAAAAAGATCGGTAGGCGTATGATTTTATTCATGTGGAGGAAAATGGCATCATCTGTGGTAGATACAAGTAATACAATACGAGCGACCCAAAGCCAACGATCCCTCCTCACGTACAGTATCCTGCTCGCAGCTGCAGTACCGATCGTGACGTTGTAGAAGACGACATAAGGTCGAACAATGCGTGTGTGTGTTTACGTCTTTTGAATTTCAGATGTGTGCTTCCTCAGTCTTTCTTCGGATGGAGATATATCGGTAATAAATCGGTTTTACAGTATAGTGCTTCTGATTGCATTTTTCTTTTCTCCTAAAAATTGTTTTTCTCTTTGTGCCACACTTTCCCGCCCCGTTTCCGAGTCGTGCATTCTTCTTTTCGCCGTTTGGAAGGCAAGAATTTCATCCGATCTTTCATCCGTTGTACCAGCGTTATTCCGTGGCGCGTCGACATGACAGAAGCGTGAGTGGTTAAATTTATTTTCAGAGTCGGACTATTTCGGGAGTCGGCATCGCCGGGGGTGTGATGCTGCAGACACAGCTGGCGCGCTACATGGTACACAATGATCGCGTGTGGCATGAGAAAAGGGAAATTTTCGTTGGTTCTTCGACCACTCGATTCTTGGTTTGTTATATAATAATAATAATACTATGAAATACTTTATTTTATGAAATGTTACTCATTACGTTTCACCGACTCGCTACTTAAATTTTATTATTTACCACAAATGAGAAAAAAAAAATTCAATTGATATTGATGTCTAATCGATCATGACATCTTTTTTTCCTTAATTTTGACTTTGATTTTTGTAGAATCGCCGAAAGTAAAACAACCGGCATTACTTGCATAGCACTCACAGAAAGGAGGGCCAAAATGTAGTTCAAAGAACTAGTAGCAAGGTCTCGCAGGTATCTAAAATTAGCCTCGCCCGTGCGACACTGCTATTTTTACGCACTCGTTTCTAGTGCTTGGATCGCGCGACGTGTTCGATGCTCTTTTTCGATAGCCAAATTACGCCAAATTAAATGTAACGCTCCGATAAAATTATAAAACGTGAAAATGGTATTACATGTATACCCTTCGCATAATAATTGTTAAAAGACCCGATTCACGAGACGATGCCCAAAGCGCAGACAGCGAGAGGCACTGTATGTTGCAACAAATAGTCGTGAAACTAGGGTTTCATTAAAACCAGAGGCTCTGACTTTTGCGCGTGAAGTGTGTATTATATAAGCAAGAGCAAACTCGCGTTTTACTAATATGTCTTCGTGTTGGCGTATAGAAGAAGAAGAGATGAGAATAGCATGAGTTTACGTTATGGATACGTTAGTGGATGTTTACTGATTCACCGATAAAATTTAGTAATTTTTACTCTTTTTGAAAGACTACCTACTTCTCGATCGTATAGCCAGTCACTGACTTGACAGTATTGCACGAGTTAATAATATTTATCTAAAGTACAGTTAACTAAACATGATTCAATGGAGAATTAGTAGAATTAATTTTCAGTTCGGTGATTCAGTTTTAAAGGGTTGAATAAGGAGCATATTGACTAACTCACCTCCGAGTGAACAATTGCGAAACTTGTTAAAAGAGAGCATCGGAAAATCATTGGGTGCCAATAGAAGAAGAAAAAAAAAAAAAAAAAAAAAGCTAAAGAAACAATAACTTACGAGTAACTTGTTGTCGACGGTCTTGACGACTATCTCCTCGGGCGTGTACTGGGAAACGTCGAATCTGAGCTTGAGGCACTTGTTGTCACCCTCGTCCTGGATCAGTGGGCTGTTTAGGCCGTCCAACCAGGTCGACGAGTCGTGATTTTGCGGGCTCAGCGAGCTGTTCTGCGATGTGTGCTGTTGGGTTGTCGAGCTGCAATCACACATCAATATTTTTATTGTCGAATTCATCCGTTTATTTCATTTTTTTATTTTTTTTTATTTTTTTTTATTTTATTTTTTTTATTTTTTCTGTTCAATCGCGCGATTTGGAGATGAAGTGTCGTTCGTACGTGAGGCGTGCTCCCGAAAAATGTTACATGCTACATGATGTAATAAATTTTTTTTTTGTTATCGTTTTTATGAACGCCAATTGTCGAGCTTGAGGTGATTGATTTTCGAAAAAAGCGCAGACAATTGAGTTTCGTTTGGCTTTGCTCGAAAATCGATCAGAACTACTGTAACGCATGTACAACTGATAAACTCAAGTATTATGTACAGTCGAGCTTTTTTGATCTTGATACTAGAGCTAAATAAAAAATAAAGAAAACAAGCAGTTTTGTGACACAGTAAAAACAAAGTCGGTGTGCAGTGTGGCGGGTGTCGTGACGATGCGCTAAAAAGAAAAACAATTACTAGTCTTGGAGTGCACCGACTAAAGGATATCTCTTGGGTCGAACGAATGCTCCTGTGCGACTGATAAACGAAGCATGAATGGCGGAAAAAAAAATTAAAAAAAAAAAAAAGAAGCAAAATCAGATGCTGTTTCGTGCTGCGATAATTTCTGCGTTGCAGGGGAATGGCTGGTGAAAGAGAGTCTAGTGAAGGTAATCTAAAAAGTGTACAACTATAATCATGTACAGTAAAAAAAGCTACACGAACACAAAAAGTCACTGGAACTTTTTCTATCTATGTATGCCAGGGGTTGTACATCTGCATCATCATCATTAAGTATCACCTTTTGAAAGTGTCGAAGGCCGATCTCAGATTGGGCGAGCCCTCGCCCGTACTACTAGCACTGCTCTCCGTCTTGGAAGTCGTGGAAGTCCGATGCTCGCTGGTACTCGTGTGGTGTCGACTTTTGTTTTTCGATCGAGTTTGATTTTAGATTTTTAGAGGTATGCAAGCGCACGAGCAGTCGTTGGTGGCGTTCGTAGTGGTGTTAGTGCAATTTTTTTTTTTTTTTTTTTCAGTGGTGGTGGTTTGGTTTTGTAGGCCATTTGTCCCCCACACGCACGTGCCGAGAGTTGGTTAATTGGCCCCGTCGATAGATGCGATTAATCAAGTTTAGATTAGTATTGTTGCACAGTAGAATACATCAGGAGATAAAATTATAGTCGTATCTCTCATGCTGAATTGTATGGCAATGTAACAATATTATTTTTTTGTCATGGCATTGCGTAGCGCCAATCGGGAAGAGTTGGGCGAATTCTTGTTAGAAAAACGTTATTGCATCTTATGAAGGAATTACGAGAATATTTTTTTCTATAAATAAGTTAAAGAATCATTGGAAATATTTATTTATTTAATCAACACGACTTAATCATGAAGGCCCAAAAAAATTTGTTTTTATGAGAAAAAACAAACAGTAAATACAAATAAATCATCAATACGACCGCTAATTTTGTTAATAACACTTTGGTACCTAATTTATGTAACTACGTGTAAGTCAACAATGTATTGCATCTGATGAACATTAATTGATATCGTTTTATTGCCGTAAAAATTCGCCCAACTCTGCCCGTATATCTTTTAACATATGCTTTGAATTAAATTTTTTTCTTTTCAATAGATAACATAAGAAACTAAACTACGTAATCATGTGAAAAATTGTAACTGTATAATCGCGGTAAACTAAAACCTTTGTTTTAAAACACAAAAGCTATTGTAGTGTCATTAACCGTGTCTCAAATGAAAACTAACGTTGCTTCAACAGCACACGTTATACCATCAGCAACTGAAACGAATGCAACTCCGAAACAAAACAATTCTAAGAAAAAAAAAAAAAAAGTTGTCTTTAATTTTCAATCGACAAGCAAAAAAAAGCTCACACAGCGACAGGATAGCATCGTCGGCACGTTTTCTTCGCACTGTTGCAGATGTGATAGCCTGTAACTTGGCACACCTATTGCACAATAAGAGACTCATCGAGGGTTCTCGATTCTCGTGGAAAATGTTACCTACAGTGACTTCATTCAGATTATTGCGGTCGGCAAATGTCCAGAGCAAGGAGTCCTCGCATCTAGGATATACCAACGTCTTAGTTGTTTTAAGGACATCGGAGATGTACAAAGGCACCTTACAAAGTGGACGAGAATAGACGAAGCTCGAAATAGACACTAAGTCCGACTCGAGGCGGAGGAGGAAGCGAGCCCATCGCATCAACTGTCGAACGACCGGAAGCGACTTTCGGTCGCCGACCTCCGGCCCCGAGATGCCTTCCTCATGCCCCACGTATGGATTGATTGGCGCGTTCCTTTGTCATTGGGACGCAAGTATATATATTTATCCGCGCGAGGATTGAGCAACTCGGGAAGGGGATGAAAGAATGTCCGAGAGACCGATTCGTAGGGCGGAACGTGTGCGGTGCCATTGTTGTTGTTGTTTTCGATGCCAAAGGTCTTTTTATATTAGACGGAAGTAGTTTTCTTTATCAAATTACACGATAACTGCGGCACGAGGATCTACATGTACGGTACCATTGTTCGCGTATTTCACCTGCACGTAACTAACGAATCGGTTTGGCCGATTTTGTTTTCTGAAAATACACAGCCGGACTTGACAATTCATCACCAGAGAGGTAACCTTGGTGATTAAAATAAAAGGAGGCGCCTTGGCTCGCAGTGGTCATGTAAAAATCGGCAAACAAACCGCGAGACGCGATAAATTTACCCCGCTGGAGCCGTTCCATCGTCTTTTTGTCTTGGGTTTGCATCGTTTCCGAACATATCTGCCAGCTAAGCGATTCGAGAAACGCAACCGAGTAGAAGCCCGTGCAAGAGCCACTGTATACTTATATGCACAGTTTCGACGGAGATACTTTTAGCTCGTTTAATTATAAACGAAGCTCCCAAGTTCAATCGGACTGCCTGTTTCGTGCAGCTGTAATCCGAGATAATTTGCGAGTCACGGTATGTACTACAGAGAGTATCAAGTACCGAAGAGAGAAAGAGCGGAGCTTGTAAAAGGTCAAGAGGAGCAGCGAAGCTCGTCCATCCACATCCACGAGTCACGCGAGCATTGACGGCCCACTGGCTCTTGCGCTCTTACCTTTTCGTGCGCCTCTTAACTTGCACAGAGATATATATACATATAAATTTTCGGAGTGTACGTGGAAAATGTGCCCTCGATTGTCTGGGCCATGGGTGCAGTGGAGTCACGAAAACTGTGGGGTATTGTTTGGAAAGTCTTTTTTTTTTTTTGGCATCTAATTAACGGATAGAATAAAGTAAAATATCACGGGATGGATACATGGCTTTTTTTCGATTTGGCGTCGATACGGGACAGGTGGATTACAGTGTCTGCTTTGCCGATATATCGGTGGGTATAATGTATAACGGTACAATGGTTCCCATTGTTTCGTCGAGTGGAGCTGAAAAAATAAAAAACTCGCACGGATTGAACTTTTCCCCTTTTTTCCCTTCTGTACTTGGAGCGATCCATATGTAAGAGGAGCCAGTATTCTATTGTATGCTCGTTCGAAAAATAATAGCTTTACCTCTGTTCTTCGATTCACACTTTAACTTCTTTGTAACTTGTTAAAAACAAATACACCTACACCGTAGCGAAAACCAGTCTCGTTCGTATACGCATCATCGTACGCGGCAAAAGAGGAAACATCAATGTTAACATACACACACGCGGAATATTGCGTAACCGTGTGACGACGGCATTCTTTTCCTGCAACAAAACATACACCAACAACCGGTATACATACATGTGCCTACTAATTATACCTCAAAGACTTGCAGTTGATCTCAGATTACTGATAAAAGTGTGCACATGGGTGTGTTGGATGCACCGCAGACGTATAGATATCGTCCAATTGGCGATTCAAAGTGTCACCCACTGCACGGTGGCCGCGTAATCTCGTCAATTTTTTTTTTACCCTTAATTACACGCTCTCTCGCCTTGCTCTGTACGACTCGACACGCGTGATTGGCTTCCCTTCCTCGTTACGATTATTGCACACTCCGGAGACGCTGTTACGGTACGAGTTCGCGATTGACATTGGGACAATGGGCAATGACACTTGTTGTCGAAAAGGTAAAAATGAAAAATTGACTCTTTTTTTTAACACTGAGAGAAACAATACTAAAAATTATAGAGAAATTTCAGCAAAAATTACCATTACGCACAGTAAATCGGACGCAAGTTGGCAAAAAAGGATAAAATTGTTATTTTTAATAGTAAAGATTTATGAAATAACAGTAACAATTGTAGTTTCAATGGTAAAAATTATTGTTAGAACAGTTAAAATTACCATGCTGGAACAGCAAACCTTAAAAAGATCGGTTAACAAATTTTACTTTCCTGCATAGAATTTTTTACTTTTCAAACCAAAAACTGATAAAACAATCACTTTTAATGTCAAAAACAATAATTTTTCCTTATTCTGCCAGCTTGCATCCGATTTACAGTGAGGAATGGTAATTTTTTCTGAAATTTCTCTATCATTTTTATTATTTTTTTCTCTCATCAGCGTTCACAAACTATTACGACGTGTATAGCGTTTATTGGGAGTGCGTTTGTTGTGTTGCATAATAATGTGATGAAGCTGTGTTGAATGATATTGTGCACGATTGGCAATCAACATGCGTTGGAGATAATATCGAGTGAAGATTCGTTGTAAGTGCTTCTTTGAGATTGTTGTCCGATCGCTCCACGATAATAACAACGCCAATGGCACTTTCAAGCGTTTCGATGATACCACGAGATTAAGGTAATATCTGACGATTTTTAGAAGGGCAAATTGTACATGGAAGTGTATGATTTATGGATGATCTTTGGGTTTAACGACGACGCCAAAAGAGCCCGAAGAAAAAAAAAAAAAAGAAAGAAAAAAAAGGACAAAAACAACGACATACCGATACTTGATCACAGTCTTGTGGCGCGGCGGATACAGCTCCTCGTCCAGAGTCATCTCGAAGAAAAATTCGACTCACTCGCAGGAAACAAAATATCAACAACGAAATTCCAGCTCCTCCGCTGGTATCTCGGTGCCACTGGAAAATTGACTGCGCGCAAAACGGGCGCGCTGGAGCATAAACATACCTCTTCTATAATATATACTCCAATACACCCGATACGTGGTACGTACTCCCTCGCGGTGGGTACACGTATATATATATGCACGACGTATCGAAGGAACTCTAATGAAGACGGGAAGGGGGGGGGGAGTAACACGCTCATGGCTCCCTTTTGCCTGTACGTGTGAGAGATATGATTGCGTAATGCGTCAAAAGCGCGCGCTGACGAGCGCCTCTTCGGTAAATAATTAATACGTTGTCGCGTGTCTCTTTTAGCCGATGATGATCCGGTGAGTCCGGTAGGATGATTTTTTTTTTTTCTGTTGATTCATAGGCGAGTTTCTATTTTGTTTGGAAAACAACGCTTTGTACGACTCGGAGAGCCCGAAGGGACGGAATTTTCGAGCAGAGACACGCCCGCGTTGTAAGAAAACTCCCGGGAGAGGTCAGACTGGAAATTCCAAAGATTCCGAGTCGCGGTTACGTCTTTTTGATCGTCCATTTATACGTATTTTTGTCGCAAGAAAATTGTGCACACGTATCGGATGACAGAGAGGATGGAAACGACAGATATGGGCCTTCCAGAGACCGCCCCTCCAAACTATATACACGCAAACTCGGCAAAATTTATGGAGCCACACACACACGAGCTGGGAGGGAAAGATGAGCGCGTGGCCTTGGCGAGGGTGTCGGGATAGATAGGCCGACGTGAGTATATATATAAACGGGCGGCAGATGTTCTAACGGGGCCAGGGAGATGAATACGTCGCGGGTGGGTATACACGCTATTTATTGCGTACAGACCCACCACACGCGGGGGTACGTAATATATTTAGAGTTTGGCGGTATGGGGGAGGGGAGAACCGAAATAAACGTGATCTCACCGCGCGATGGCTGTGCTCGCCGCTTTTCGACCAGCTTCCGCGTGTGTGTGTGTGTGTGTGTATGCGTGGGTGTTTTTTTCCTATTTCCTTTTCTTTGATTGCTTCGCGCTGTTTGGTGTGGGTATTATGCAAAGCCGGTGCGCGTTATGTCAGCGAGCCTTTGGTTTCGTATGGCGTTAGAGAAGGCGCGTTTATATTTTTCGAGACAGAGTTGAAGACTCGGAGCGATGTTATTTTCAAGAAAACCTTTTTTACTATTTTACAGGGCATGGGCTTTTTTTTTTTTATGCAAAATAAATACTGTGGTGGAAGAACGACAAGTATATACCGCACACTCGAGTATAAGTGCACTTGTGGATAGAGTGACACGATGTGTATAACAAAGTCGCACGCAAATGCGAGACAATTAGCGAACGGCCGGCAAAGTTCCGAAGTGGTACACTGCGCTTCGTTACACACGCGAGGTGCTTCGTTAGTTGAGTCAAAACGATGCCACTTTTCAAACTCAATTTACAAGAAAATTTACAATATGTACAAATACAAGAAAACTTGAAAAATTATTCGTACTGGTTTTTTAAGAGCTGCTTCTACGTGAAAAGATAGGCCATATTTTCTCGACCGAAACAAAGATGAAGTTTATTTAGGACGTTTTCGTAAAATCCATATAGTCCCTTTTGTTTTTAATTATATCAATAAGACGTTTTTATCAATTATACAAAAAGTTCGTACAAAAAAATATTAAGATTGGAAAAAAAACTGTCTATTTAAGTAGTAAAAAACTTTTTTTTTTTTTAAATTGTAATGCTACCCGAAAAACTTTAAACTCACCCAGGAACTCTAGAGTACAAAAATGGTTTACCGAAATTAAAAAAAATTAAAAAAAAAACGTAAAAAAAAAATTTTTTAAATGCTTATTTTATGTTTACAAATAGTTTTGTGCTCCTGAAGATAAAAAGATTTTTTTGTAAATGTACCTGAAATGACAATAAATTGAGGCAGGACTCCCGACTGTAAACATTTTTTCATGGAATCACTCGTGCACAATAGGGCACGCGTTATGCCTATATACTCGCAAGATCGGCAATTCAATACCAGACCTGTTGTCATTACACGCTATATACGTATATAGCAGACACTGTAAGAGAGACTTGGCTCGTTCGGCCAAGGTCCCTTCACTCTCTTTTTTTTCTATGGGACTACTGCCCATGGCACGACATGACTCATCCTCCTCCTCCTCCTCTTCCCATTCAGTGTTCCCTGCAGCACTCTGGTGTATACTAATGGATTTTATTTTCTCTCTTTGCGCGTATGTATACGTCTGTGGGTGTGTTTATGTGTACACATCACTAATGACGGAAAAACTTGCCTTCATTAATTATCGGTTTAAAATTGTATCTATTTTAATTCAATAAAACGTTACGCTTAACTCGATTATCAATTAAAAGTATCAATGATGCAGATTTTTTTTTTTTTTTTTTTTTACGGAAGTCTGAATACAAATCAAGATACAATTTGGGTCAGCCAACCTCATCGTGTGGCTTATCGAGGACATTGTTAACTCGGGTATCGACATTTTTCACGCTGTTTCGATAACTCGTCAGTGCTGAGGTCATCCAAACTTGAAAAGGCTATACGTTATCGTGATATCTCGTATCACATTTCAATTGAAAAAGCTATCTTTAATCACTTGCTAAGTGCTTTTACATTAATAGGCTGAAAAAAAAAATTACACTCGAATCGGCGTATCTAATTGCTCATGAAATACACTACGATTCCCAAAAACAAAAAAAAAAAAACAAAAAAAATACTGCAGACCTTCAATGAAAGCCCCAAGACTTTGTCATCCATCGAAAGCAACCCTCTTTTTCTCTCAAGACCGAAAAAAGTGTATTACGTCAACTGTGACTGGTAGAAGAAAAAACATAGGACACAGGTGATACGTAACTTGTTACTACCGACCTGTAGCAGTGGGTGTGGGGCGTACACACTTGCCGGACCTTCGGACAGGTACTCCGAACCTTTTTTTTTTTTTTTTTTTGTGATGGCTGTATATATTTTTGTCCTTTACGAGCGTATGTACGGAAAAAAGGTTTTATTTCCTTTGGAGGAAAGTCCCTCCTCGAAATCGATGGATGACGAGCTTTTTTTCTAAATCGAATAAATGAATTGGAAGATGAAATTACCAACCGTTCAAGAAAACTTGAGATGCTACTCGAGGGAAAAAAAAAGAAACTATTTTACGCTTGAAATACGTCGAGAGATATAATCGCAACGATAAAAAAAAAAAACAGAAAAAAAAAACTTATCGGCTCGAGTAATGTATTCACGAATCGGGGCTACCTAATCTACCATCCTGAATTGTAATTTAATAACCCGACGATGTTAATTACCCCTCGTATCTCGGTTTTACGATTGACGCGAAAAACTTGAACCTATACACTTTACATACCGTCCGTCATCACTGCCGGCACATTGATTTAAGATTCAATGTTTGATTATTAGTTCAATAAGCATGGGATGGTATAAAAATACTCGACCGACAAATCAGTACCGAGCCCCTTGTAATACAAATACACATTATCTCGATCAATTATAAAAGCGTTTTTCAATTATGCCACTTGAGAGCGCGGCTCTCCAATCATCTCCTCCAAGCCGGCTCGAGAGTTCCTAATCTTTTTTTTTTTTTTTTTTTTGCATGATTTGCATTCCATAGAGAATACGTTTTTTCTCAAGGAGTAGCCGATTCTCGTTTCGTGACTTATAACCCGCGGGAAGAAGATTGATTTTCCCTCCTTGCCTCTCTAAAGTCATTTCAGTGAAAAATTTCTCTAATTTGTCAGTGGACAGATTTTTCACTGAAAACTGAACAGGGGTTCACTGAATATTTAGTGTAAATTAACTGACGTATCAGTTAAATATTATTTTCACTGAAAATTCAGCGTAAAAATCACTGAACTCATATATTTAAATACACACAAGTTTTTAGAGTTCCGCTTGCATTCGAGGCAAGCACACGTCTCGTATGTGTTTAACGTATATACACGTATTTGTATGTATCGACGTTAATATACATTCGTGGATCGGCCTGATCAGGCCGGACAAGCACCAAGTGCACCAACTTTACATGGCTTTAGTAGTATAGTGTTGCTGAAGGATTTAAAAGTAGGTGAAGTTAGGTGTGAGCATGTGAGTATAATAGAACTCAAAGCTATACACTGAAAAGCTGAAAGAAGTTACATACACGTATATAACACATGTAGTATGTACCCTGTGCGCGTGTGTTCACTGGGTGAATAATAATAATAAAAACTCAGCTCAAATCCAGAAGAGGTTAATGTGATAAATAGGTGGCGAGCAGAGAGACGTAGGAAGGTTATGAAGAGTTTTTTTTTTATTTTTGTATACAAAACGCGAAAAGAGCACGGGGTAAAAAAATGATTTGATTAAGAAACAAAAGCATTAATTATACATTATAGAATAAATACCACGTAATGCTACGTAATTCTATATTTATTTAATTTCCGCCAATTTTCAGGGAAATTTCTATTATTTTATAAGTACGTATTATCCACTATACGGTTAGTGAAAGCGTTCACTCGTATTTCAGGGAATACATACGCTACATACTTCAGTGACAGTGTTAACTATCATTTTCGAGACTCGGCCTTCACTCGCTTGGCTCGCACCTCTGAGAAACTTATTTCTTAAGTGCGTATTACCAACTGTGGCCAAATGGTTCGGAAACCATGTAAAATAAGGTCCCCTTTGCTGTGTAAGTGATTGATGTCACAATTAAATCTGAGGCGGTTTTTTACTATGCCAATGACGATAGCATGTAAATGCATAGTAACACAGCATTGCAGAGCCTATAGGGCATAGTTCTCAAAAAATGGCTGTAAAATATTCAAAAAAAAAAACTAATTTTCAGTGAATATTCACTAATTTTCAGCTGCATACTTATAGCTGAACGAATTAGTGAATATACACTGAAAATTAGTGAATTTTCACTGAAATGACTTTAGAGAGTGCATGCTTTGTTACACGCGCTCGCGAGATCGATCTACTCGTATAGTCTTGAAGGAGATTTATTAGCCAAGTGCGCTCGAGTGCAATGGTATATGCATCGAGAACTAAAATAATTGAGAAATAGTTTTGTTCGAATTGTGCTGACTAAATTACTTTTTTTTTTCCAACAGCAACTAATTAGCATTTCAAAACTGTACAGTTTGAGGAATCGTTATCAAACACCAAGTTCAGCTAGATCGCATATCACAACCCAAAGGACCATAGACACCACTGGATTGCCCTGCATCGAAGGTAGAAGAACCTTGCATCAAGCACGTGGTTGCTCGGATTAAAAAAAAAAAAAAAAAAAAAAAAACAAAGAAAAGAAAATTCACCTGGTGGTGCTCTTGAAGAAGTTGTTCTCGCGGTTCATGAGCTCGCTGCGGAAGCGCGACATCTCGTCCTCCATCTTCCTCATCTCCGCGTCGAAGCGCTCCCGGATGCTCGAGAACTCGCAGTCGATGACGCTAAAGTCGCCCAGTTTGATGGGAATGTTGCGATTCGCCATTTTTTTCCTACCCTCGGCTGTTCCTTCCCTTTCTTTCTGATACTCTCCCTTCGATTTCACCTTTCGTCGCTTTCACGCACTGTATATATTATTATTATGTATATATATGTATATATACTATGTTGCACCAATGAAATTGTATACTAGTCTCACAGAAGCTCAAAACACCGGCTGGCAAGAATTTTTGGTATATCTTGTGTTATTAAGTACAAAAACGAGTAAAGAAAACCAACGCGAGTGTATACGTATGTATGAGAAAAACTATACGTGTATGCGTTGTCTCTCGTGATCACACTCTCGTGCGAGAATAAGCCCGACGCGCCGGCAGCAGCCCCTTAAGTAAGCACCGGTCCTCCCTCCCCCCAGCTCCCTTTCTTGGCTACCGATGACGCTGCTTCTAATATACCTACAGCGTCGATCGCCAACTTCGGGGACCTTCGGGCGTCTCCGGTGTGCTCGACTCCACCGACGCAGCTGCTGTACAGTAACAACTCCCGATCAGAAATCTAAAGAGGCTACCTCAATAGTTCATGAGGGCCTCACGAGGCTGCCTCAGTAGTACCTCACGAGGCGCATCACGGGGTGCAGTGGAAACCCTCATGAGGTCACCCCAATAACCTAATTTTTCCGCCCTCGGGTGGTTTTGGGAGGCTGGTACTTCCTCGGGCGAAAAAACAGTTTTCCGCCCTCGGGTGGTTTTGGGAGGCTGGTACTTCCTCGGGCGAAAAAGCAGTTTTCCGGAACTCTTTCGAAAAGTCTCCTTTACGAACCTCGTTACGTCCCTCGCCTTTGGCTCGGGCCGCAAACCTCTCGGTTCGCAAACAGAGACTTTTCAAACTCATAGGAAAACTACTATTATCTCATGTAAACAGATTTTTTGGAGCTGTCAAACAGAAATAATATTGAAACTGAATTATTTCTATAAATAGTAGTCACTAAAAAGTTTCCCTAAAAATGAGTGACTAAATAAAATGGTCACTATTATTAAATAAAGAAAGGGCTAAAAAATATCGTGATGCGAAGCGTATTCGAGTAGATAATAATAGTGTGATTACATCAGAGAATATAGAATATATCTCCGTATGTAATTACATCAGACAGCTCAGACTTGATGGATATTTCCATACAAGATGACAATAGAGTAGCTTATCCTCCACTAAATTATTTTATAAATGTTGATCAATTTGAAAGCGAACAACAACAGTCTGAGTTTGCAAACGTGGTGGATTAAAAATGATTATTTTCTGGTCCATTCAGCTCATTTCAAAAGCTCTTCTTATCACGTATATGTTTTATGTTTTTTATGTTTTGGAATTTTTTGAAACCTCTACCAGAAGGAAACTGCAATAAAACAAAAAAAATTTTTATTTTTTAAGTAATTTCGAAAAGGCCCAAACAAAAAGTTATTTACATTGAAGTTTAAGGTACATGATGACTACATTTATTCTTTATTTTATTACGCTTGGAAAAAAAGGTCAACTACGGAGGCGTACGAAAACTAGTTTTGATTGTTGTTGAGCCAGATAAAAATTAAAAGATTTTAAGTGGAATGACACGTACCTACATGTATACGTCAAAAACAGTAGGTATCTACCTAACTACATGTCAATTATTCCAAAAAACATTAGAGATAAGCGAGAAACTGAGCATATTATTCAAAAATCGTATTTTATGTTGAAATGTAGTGCAATGTTAACCATTTTGGCTGATACAATATTGTTTTTGGCACACGCAATGTATGTAACAATGTATGATTATTGTGCTAATACGAGCCACACACTCAACACTTTGTTGATCATTAAAATTCAGACATATTGGCAAAATAATTCAAAACTCAAAAAAGCTTTTATAAAAAATGTCACTCTATCGTTAAAACAGTACTAAAATGACCCAATAAATTAATTACACACTCTTACCAATCACGAAAAGTTTTCGTAAAGATATAGGCAACCCGTCATTCAAAATTTTCAACAACTGACCTTCAACTTTACTGAAATCATCCCAAAGCTCGAATGGTAAAAAAATGGCAACTCTAAAAGAATCGATGAATTCAATCGAGCCAGTTAGCTGAACCATGGCTTTCATACTCTATACTGTCTCCAAGCACCACATAATATATGTTTCCAAGATATTCGAAAGAACAATCGTATTTGCCGGGGAAGAGAGTAATACAAGGGTTGGTCCAAATGATGAGTAGTGGATACAATACCCCAAGAAACCAAACGAAGAAATGTTTCAAGTTGTATAGCTATTTACGTACTATCAAATAAAACAATAGTTTTTCACACATACGGTACACTTCTTTATTTACTATATCGAAACTTTTGTTAAAACAAAAATTTCTGGTACGATGAATGAGAAATAGTGGGACTCGTCAAGCTCTGATTAATAGTAAAAAAAAAAGCTCGATGCATCTTTGCCTGAAAAATAATACGAGTCATGTACCATGATATAAAAATCATTACTGAGAAATCGGTAAACATGAATCGCAAAAACAAAAAAGTACGTATTTGCCACCCAACTCGAGAAATACAACTCAGATGTAGCAGGCAACAACAATGATGACTAGTGAATTTTTCAAGATCGCCAGACCCACCAAGTATACGTATACGTTTCCGTCGATCCGACTGCATCATTACCATAGCAAAAATAATGAAAAACAGCAACAGCATCCATTAGAAAACATCGTAACTAGCTCACATACAATGCAAGAGGATCGTCGCATCATTACTGAAAATACCCGGATGGACTCATTGCTCGCGTGGCTCCGTCTCTCATGGTCTGCAGCTTCCCAATTATAGAAACATCCCGCGAATGGAGAATAACACGCGGGCGCTGATTTTTCAAGCTTTCGCATAGTTTCGCGACAGAGTAATCGCCAAACGAAAATGGAACGATGACTAATATTGGCAGCGGGAGGGGATGTCCGTACGAGCATATGTATATACTTACACGCGTACACCTACAATATATATGCTAAAACTATCGTGACTATATACGTATATGTGTGTACTTATGTATACGGTCCGCAAAGAATTGCTGCCTGTACAACATCCGAGAAAGCTCAAGGTCATGTGACGTGGTCGCGATATTCGTATGCATACGTGTGGATGTCCCTTAGTTCTCGACGACGTTGCGTAGCCATTTCAGTGCCATGTAGATGCGGGCTCAGGAGCTTTCGAGAATCGTTCCTGTTAAAGTGTATAATACACGTATGTTCAGGAGTATGGCTCATCATCGTTTTCAAGGCTGATTGTCAACAAAGTGTTTTTTAATAAAAATTGATACATCTCGTCGTATGTTAATTAAGTTTTACAAAATTGTTTCACTCAAACTGACGAAAACTAGAAGGAGTCAATAAAAAGCTACTTGTGTGTATATATTTTTATATAGAAAAAAGTGTCTTCAAATTTATAATAACTGGTAGTTAAGATAAATGAAAATTCACCAAAAGGAGTAAAACAGGTCAGTTGGTACTACGATCGTTGATGCATCGGGTTGAAAACTGTGTTTTTTAATAGTAATTAAGGAAACTCGAGTTTTTTTTTTTTTTTTTTTTCTTCGCTTGGGGGGGTTTCCATGCAAACTCGAATGCTGATAAGCAAAAATTAAGTATTAGGCCCGATTAAATTCTGAAAGCTAATTTAATTAACATTATTTATTAAGAATTGATAAATAATTATTTCACTTGAAATATTGTCGATTTTAATTTAAAAAAAAATCATTTATCCATTAACGAGTGGTTTTTATTATTTTAAACGATATTTTACTTACAATATTCGATAAGCATATTTGTTATTGTTAGTTGATTTGATTCCACGCAGATCGGTCTATTATATTACTTGTAATACGATAAATGGACATTTTTTTAAATTTTATTGCAGTGTAAAATCAGATTTGAATGAAGCCGAGCACACCAGCCAGCTAAAAAGAAATAAAAAGGCACAGGATGTTCCGTGGACCATCGGCATCGAAGAAAAGATGCTGATTGAATTGAATAACAATGCATGCTATGAAGGCTCAAAAACAATCTTCGTTTGCAGCCTCCACTGACAACACGTCCGCGTGAATAGAATACCTACTATCATATCCAAGTTACGTATTAGCGTACTCGTATCACATGAGTAGCCAAAAGTTAATTTTGAAACATGGCATACCTTTGATATCCGGTAGTGTTTTTTGTCTTGATTATTGCGCAAGACGATGCGCATTACAGTAGCGCGTATAACGCATACATTTCACCGCTACATTCATTAATCATCAATCGGAAATAATGACTCATAGGGAGCATATGCACTAGAGAGGGTAAAAACCTGTGAATGTACGAAAAACTATTCTCGTCCCGTTTGATGTAGGGGGATGGTTATTTTTGAGGCTTGGTGCGTACCCAAATGAGCAATGCATGAGTAAATGTTAATTATATTTTTGACTAGTCCATCATATGAATCACGAATTTTGCCTCCTAGTTGAGGGAATAAATAATATCCATGTGTTTTGTCAACAAATACTAGCTGTTGTCAAACGTAAAATTAGTCTTTACGCCAAATGGTAGTGTCTCTAAGATAAAAAAAAAAAAAGATACATAATTGTACGTTTATCAAGAATTATATTTCAACTCGTTCAATGATCTTTATACAATTAATAGTAAATAAAATTTACCGATAAGCTTGTTTAAACATTATTAAATTATAGAAAAGTTTATCACTACAGACAATTGGACCAATTGGACAAATAATAAATATTGTCAGTTAGTCTAATAAAAAATATTATGTGAAGTATTAAATATTAATTTTTTCATACCGTATAAATATATCGTATGGAAAAATTAATATTTGTTTTATTTAAAATGTTTTAAAGCAACGTTGATGCTCCATTAAAAAATTAGACTTGAAAAAAGAAATATCATAACTAGCATTTCAAACAATTAATGTTATGGTAATCAGTACAATAATTTAAGTATAGTATTATAAAATACATTATGTGAATTATGTTTTGTAAATATTTTTTTAATTTGCTTTTTAATCGTCGAGTTAATTTTTTTTTTAATTTTTTTTTAATTTTTTCATCATCACGTGTTGATACAACTCAGTCTAAATTAACTAATGTTATTATCTTACGTAATCTCCGGAAAAAGCTCAAACTGTGCAACATCATTCGGCTCTTTGGGAATTAGTCACTTCAATTCAATCAACTGTGCCCACACAACTGTACGTAATAGGAAACTACTAAATAAGATTAAGTCATCGATCAATTAAATCGTTCAATTCCATTAAACAATTTACCTAGTGCATTTTTATAGGAGAACAAACTATTTTTTT